AGAGATAACTCTTGGGAGGAGTGATTTTACGTCTGTTCTTTATTGAAGGGAGCTTCAATAGGAGATACAAGTGTTTCCACTAACGTTCGCAAGAGGAAGGAGACAAGCAATTAAGCATGAGTCAGGATAAGTATAAAATATCAATTTTATTCAGAAAATTACATTTTCAGTCTCTTTTAATAACTGACAAGAAACTTGAAACCCAGATCAAGTAAACAGTTAAACATAAACTCAGTGAAGCTGCAAATCTGCACCCAAACAATAGAAAATACAAAACAACATAAATATCTAATGAAAATAAATAACCGTCCAAATAGACATTTAGATTGAGAATTGATCAATGGAAGTCAATTACTAAAGTGAGTGAGTTAAAAGTTAACGTCACATCGGCAATATTGCAGCCATATTGTGACGATCAATTACTAAACTATCGATAGTCACACATACTATTGATGCATCAATAATTTTTCATTTCTACCATCAATTAATCGCTATCAGAGACTCAACAATTGCAATCCATCGATAGTTTGATGCATTGTTACAGCCCTAATTATCTTTGTTGAAAATACACCAATTCTAGGGTCAAGGTCATCCTGTAGGTCGTAGCTTGTCTAAAAAGTGTTTACAGCTAAGGAAAAGGTCTATGAAACATGGAGCATGTGATTGCTAGGGTGTGAGTGACATGTGAGGTCAGGCTACTTCCGAAATTCATGTAGAAAGTATGCTTTCCATTTTCGAGGAAGTATATTTTGTTGTTGGTATATTTTATATATCCCTAAAATGTTTATATCCTTTGAATATGTGACAATCGTATGATATTCTTTGTAGTCTATGTTGCCTACTTTCAGTGGATAGTATATGCAATTATTTTACTCTGTATTGAATTCCACAAAAGAGAGGGACATATTTGGTTTACATATTGGAAGCAAGACATTTCAAAGGTGAGGTCTGCATATTCATGATGCTTTTCCTGAAACTTGCCAATCACTTGCAGTCAAATTTAATAACATGATTGTATTCATTCAAAAAGGACATGGTCAGGTTTGTTGGCTTGCATATGTCTAAGGCTGTATGCAGGCCTTTTCCAAACAATTTTCTAATTGTGATTTTCATTGGCTCAAAGATACTGTGTGTGTGTGCCATTGCTAGGGATCCACTCACAAGGTCTTTGACAGTCTCAAAAAATTCTACAGTCTACAATTCAGGTTATCTACATTTCATATTTGTTTGTATCATTATTATCATGATAAACCACAACTGGACGTGACATCACTAAATCAAAAGTGCTCCTGACTGTGCTGTCATGTTGGCTTCAAACACAGGAATTACTACCTGGCCACCCATGAACTGTGGCAAGGGAATATTTAACTCAGATACTTATCAAATCTAAGAAATATCATGAATTTATGGAGATACATCAGTTTTGTCAATATTCAATGACCAGTGTAGCCCATTTGTATAGATAATATCAATAGCATTTTGTCTATATTGACTTGTAAAACAGATAAATATTGTTTTCAATTGTAATTAATAACTAGTTTTTATCCCCCCCAGGGATATTGTCAATACCTCGTCCTTCCGACCATCTGTACTCAATTTGTTTCCGGAGCATAGACCATTCTTAATGAGGCCTCATGAATATTCATATCTGTACCAAAACGAGGCCAAACGGGGCAAGGACACAATCGCGTAATGGCGACAAAACTCAATGTATACTTCCTGGTTTCAAATTTCCCTTGAACGGTACATTACGAAACTGGCCAGTAGTTCAGGGAAATCGCAGAGAAATGGGAAAGGGCTACACAAATGTTTCTGTAGCATATCCACGGATTGAAGGGTGAATAGTCATATGACCTAGATATCTAGGTAACGTTTACCATGTTGCTCAGCATTTATGAAGGGAAGCTACTCTAAAGTCACAATAGTGGATATATTACTAAGGGAAATCAATTACGTTTACTTTATCAACATATGAACAAAGTAAAAGACGTATTCCCTGACCTGGATTCAAATCATCCACTTCCACGTGGGAGTAGTGTTGTTAATACTTGAGCTAGATAATCGAGATTATAAGTAGGATCAAGATAGCTCTCCTAGAAAGGATCTGGACCAGACAATTTTTTTGTATTATTCATGTGATGAAATTTTTTGTTTGGTATTTTTTGTTTAAAATGTTTTGTCCTATCGACTCTGTTTTATAGATATAGGGTATTTATTCACGCATTTATTTTCAGTTGTACAGGACTAGTGGTGATGGGGGATGTGTGCGTAGCTGCATGTTACAATCGCAGAGGAAAAACGAATCGCCACATCATCATGTAGAAACTATAACAATAACAATAAACACATTCACAATAGCTTCCAACTGTAATACTGATGAATAACAATAAATTTTCAGAGGATGCAAATTGAAAATATATTGGGTGCAATATTTATGTTGATAGAAGTATCCTTTTAGATTAGTCTGACATGAATGGCAACAATTACAGCTGGATCAATGCATAATTTATCATAGTTTTCTCCCCTTACACATTATCATAATCTCTTACCAATGAATGATGGGTTTTTTTCTGATTCCCAACTACCTCTTTTCCAAAAGGATGAAATACATTCTTTTTCATCAATTATTAATTAAACAGCAGCAAATGAGTTACATCTACAACTATGCCATTATGAAAGACCTTAGTATTTTTCAGTTAAATCCATCAATGTGAATGTATTGCAGCTGTCTCTTTTTTCATCCATCATTTACACAACACAAAAGCACCAAACAATTTCATTTACATTCATGTCTGTCAAATTGTGCAGTTTGGGCAAGGTACTTCACAAAACCTGGGAAGATATTCAACAAATGAAAAAGTTCCAGCTAATCAGTGCCAATGTTTGAAATGATGGAATACTGTAAAATGTTAAATCAATGTTTATCATCATACATGAATTTACAAACTCCAAACTTTTCAAGTTCAAGTTTTCTGTTCAAATCTTCTATTTTGTCAACCTTTTCCTTGAGTTGCCTCCCCTGTTCATGTAAGTTTTGCTGGAGTTGTTCTATGTAGGACTGGGGTCAGTGGCTGCTGTATCACTCTCTGCTTCACTGTAATATAAGCATTGTAAAGCATCACTATTATCTCTTTGACCACACAAACAATAAATATATCTCTGGAATTACAAATATACATCAAGGAATAGTTGCTAACATCATTTTTTAGACAGTATGGGCAATCAATATTTTTATATGTAAATAACATAGCATATAGGTCAAAGTTCAGTTGTATTAAATTCTTTAAAACCATGTCAGTTGGCAAAATTAACTTAATACGATCTGACATTCTTACTGTATCTGAGATGGTGACTGTGGTAGATTCCTTTTGGGAGGTTCCTGAGCTGGTGACATGCTCTCTGACTCTTAATCAGCAGCATCTGAAATGGATATTTAAACACTAAATATATTTCAGTTGGTGTAATTAGATTGTCCAGTAATATGTCCTGTATCCCTGAAGTACTAGTCAGCATAGAGTAATTTGGAAAGTAGATACATATTTAAGATTTTTTAACGGCATGTGTATGTCCTGCATATATATGTACTTGAAATGTTACTTTGATTTGCAGCCAATCTAATTTCACTGATACAGAGAACATTTGCAAATAAAATTCCCTTGCCATCATGACAAGAGTGTCTGCACATGTCCATATGCTTAAATTTTTTAATATATTGGACCGTTCATAATTTATGACTAGGGGGGTGATGATGATTTTAGGTGCGGTGTTTGTGGGGGTTGGGGTGTCTCCCAGATTGTTTTGGGAGGCAGGGGAGGGCCAATTATGTACATGTGAACTAGGGTGGTGTTCACTGATTTTGAACATGACAATGTCTGGTGGGGTGGGGTGGGGTGGGGGTGGGGTTTGAATGTGTCTCTGTGTGTGTGAAATTCACATTGTACATGTGCCCCTAATATTAAAACCTTGCATAGTGAACAGTTTGTACATTACACGGCAGATCTAGACTATGCCATGTGCCGTAATTAAGTTGTACTTACTATGAATCATTTTCGAGGATCTCTCCGTATTTTCGTCAACCACTGCCTTCTTCTGATCTTATTCTTGGGAATATGGTGAAAAGATACCGTAAAATCCTTACGGGCATCACTCCAACGCAAAGGCACACAGCAGTAATCTCTCCTTTCCGAGGTCGCCATTTTCAAGTTTGGGTCAACCTATTTAAGCCTCGCTTTCGATTTGACCTCGAGGTCATGCATATTGGCTAAGAATGGTCTATAACAAAGAAACCGTTCAATAATTTTGAACAAAAAATTGTATGGATATCAAACAAAACTGAAAGTGGTGCCTTTTACTATTTACATATTTTGGGCATGTTTTTCGGGATTTCCATGGTAACAATTTGGACTTAGTGTCAAAAAGGGATGGATAATTAAAAAAAACATTCAATATCTATCAATAAAACTTGGCAGATATGTGAGGCAGATACCAAAGTGGTGCCTTTTGCTATTTGCAGATTTTTGACATTTTTATTTTTCCTGATTTCCATGGAAACGATTCAGTCTTAGTCTCAAAAGGGAGGTGTGGGCTTTGTGTCCAGTGCTCAACTTTAAAACCTTTCAATATCTTTCAAGGAAACATTTATATGTTTAAAATCTCAAGTTGGACTTTAAGTGACAGTCAGATGACTTGTTCTTTCGAACTTGTGGGGTCTGATGACTCTTGTTCACATTTTGAACAAATGTTCATTTGGAAAAATGTATACTGGTTGAAATTACAACAGAGTGATGTGCCATGGAATTTTGCTTAATTTATTTGGAGTGTTTTATGTGTTTATTTTCATAGTTTATGATGATTAAGACATTGTGATCCCATCTTTCACAAAAATGACATTGTATATTTTAAATTCAATCTATTCAGCACTACTGAAAGCATTGGCAGATACAAAATATCATAGAAAAGAGTGTTTTGTTCTATGCTCAAATGGTTATCGTACTTTTCAGGCATTTCTCAGATTCATCAAACCATTTCAAGATCACATCATGAAGGTTGAGGGACAGAACACATCTGACGAAAGTGGACTGGTATTAGCTGCATTTGTGTTAATGGTGTCCTTCGAGAACGACATGATCCATGAGATCTATTCTGATGCAAAGCTCTTTCAAGCTTTTTTACCACACCCTGATTACCAGAAGAAAGAATGCCCAGATCTGGAAGCTTTGAAACAACACTTCAAATCAAAAGCAAAGTACTTATTTTACTGAACAATTATAACATCATTGCTATTTCCTTGCAGTTGAATTTGCATATAAATGGATTGTGAATGTTCAGAAGACATTTTCAGTTAGAGTGTTAAAGTGAGGCTAATTTTGCCCCATCACAGAGAAATTATTGTATTAACACACATTTGCTAATTGGAAGTCGTAAATCAGGCCAATTTTGCCATTGCTATCATTTTATAAATCCACTGAGGATTCTAATTCACTGAAAACAGATTGACTAAAATGTTTTATGAAGTTCCAAAATGCATAAAAACATAGTAATAGATTCATTATGCTAAGATTATAAGCCAGATAGATAAAGGCATACATGAACTTCCATTTTCTTTCAGTCCAAAAGAATATGCCTTATACAAATGTACTGTCAATTGCCCTTTCAAAAGCAATGCCCCCTTTAAGCTTGAGTGCATACATGAGTTGCGATGGCTGATTTGTTTGCTCACTATTCCAAGCATTACTTGGTTCCCTTTTCTTGCATGATGAGCTGTCATGGCTGAAACTGCTCAGGAGCATGGATGCAGAGAAGTGTTTGGTGGTTACATGTGTCATGTAGTAGCATTCTCTTTTTAACGCACAAGGGAGAATTTCGTCCCTTGAATTCTCTCATGTCTTGTGTTCCAACTGCCAACATTTTGTGTCCCTCGTTCATGTTTTCACGTAATTTTTCCAAGGCATGGATTGTTAATTGTTGGTGAAAAATCTTCCAAAGATCCACATCCCCACTGCCTTGACTGTATAAGAGTTTCTCAGCCAAACACATATTTTGTGTGACTATCTTTCTCTGCCCAGCGTATCTGCGGAACACCCTGAAAATTCCATCTCAGCATTCCCTCATTATCCCCTGTTAAAATTGTGACAGCAAATATCATGATACCTCGGAAAATGTACTGTTTGAAGTACAAAACACCAAATGTAAAGATAAAAGACAGCAAAGATACATCTCAGAGATGTTGTTACATACATTTTCTTGTTAACATTGCTGTACAACTATTTGTGTTCATTTCTTTATTGTTTCTTGTAAATATATTACGAAATTTCAGTTATTTTCTAATATGTGATTTGAATTATTGACAAATGGATTTCCAGAATTAAAATGAGATATGTTATTTCCATTAGTTAAGTTGTGGATATGAAATGTTAAAATCTGATCTAGATGAGAGATTTGTACAATATCATATAAAACCTTTAAGCCTGATTTTATCCAAATTTATTTTTGTGATAGTGTTCTGTGCCTTGAATTATAAGAGAATTCTATTTTTGATAACATTAATATCTTTTCAGTGACCTTGTGGGTTACCTATTGAAAACCATAAATTTTCATGCCAAAGACTACCGATATGGGACTTCAGTGTACAGTTGTGAATCTCAATGGATGTACCTTGTACCGCTCCTACATTTCTTGAAAAAGGATTCGGAACCATTCAAGAAAGTCTGTGATCCTGAATACAGAAAATCAGAATGGTGGGGTCATACTGGCATAGAGAAGGCAAAGGAAACGCTGAAGACCATTCATCAATGGTCGATGTGAGTAAAACATTTAAGGTTTACATGCGCATTAAAAATGATCTGATAGAAATTCCTCAGGATATGGAGAAATATTAACTAACAAGTTGTATTATGGTGATCATGTTTCAGCGTAAACAAAAAATACTGACCTGTAAATTGTATAGCAACATAACTGGATATACAGGAAAAAATCTTATGGATAAAAACATTAGGAAAGCAACTGTTGCAGGAAGACTAAAACTATTCTACTAGAGTCATCCTGCAACAGCTGCCTTCCTAATGTCTTTATCCATAAGTCGGTAAGAAGACTTTCTATTCTACTGGAATAAAGTAACTGTGCATTATTTGATGTTCTAAGATGTTTCGCAAAAAGATCAAAGGTGCCGACTGTTTGCATAATGTTTTGATGTCACTACGCCATTTGCGTCTGCCCCCTCATCATCAAACATACCCTTGGTAACTGACGTCAAGATGCATGTAAGTTGTCATCACCTCGTACAGCCTCCTACAGTAACCGACTCTGTAGCATCCCATTTCTTGGTTAACAGTTGCTTCACTCAGCTAACATCACTGGTGGAAACATTACGTTTATGTTTTTCAATGAATAAAATGTCTCAGAACAACTCACAATTTAACAGCGACACGGCAACACGACAATGTTTATATTATAATAGTTAATAATAGTCCCACAATGCACAAGTGTGCTCAAAAGGGGACAGAAACAGCTGGCCAGGGGAGTACCAGAATGTTCTGTTGTTTCAGGAAATCTGTCACCACACAAGCAACATGTGGACAGGCGTTATCTTGGTGACGCGTCTCTGCCCTTGAATGAGGCCCAATAATCTCATCCCTGTATCGCTAACCTGTCAGATTGACAATGACAATGTATGGTGACAACCCTTGCCCTGGTGTCTGCAGGTCATCTTCGACATGGTCGGTGGTTCTCTGGTTCGGGTTCAGAGGCTGAGTCGATGGAGGTCGGGGATGCAGAGGAACCCTTACGGGAGGTGCTCCAGCGCATAGCACTGGTCCTCTCTCAGGCTGCAATCCCATTGGAGCAACAGGGCTCGGCTGAGTTACGCCTTCCAGCTGAGGCATTTTGCCCCTCGGCAGCCTACTCAGACTCGGCTCCACGTGCTCCCATAATTGGTGAAGAATGTGGTTGACCCCTTACTCACTGGATCTCAGCTCTGCTTCGATCTGCCTCAGCTTGTTAAGAGATACCAATTAGGGGATGACTCTCTTTTCCTTGTACCGGTGGTGGACGAGTGTGAGTTTACTTCAGTGACCCACAGGGGAGGCTCAGCTTCTTTGCTTGCTGCTCCGGTGGCTAAACAGGGTTGGCTGGTTCCACCATTTCCCAAGTTGGGGGCCCCTCTGCGTGCGGCTTACAGGAGCTATGAGGAGGTATTCTGTAATGCCAGTCAACAGATTAGTTTGGTGGTTCATGGGGCGTTCCTCTTTACAGAGATCTGTCCTGGAACCAGACGCGCACACTGGCGACGTTTCGTCAAGTGTTGTGTTGCTCCGGCAGCTTACTGAAGTTCGGGCCCACCTGACCCAGGATTCTTTGCAATCTGTGGTGTCACAGGTGATGTGCGCGGTCATGGGTATGCACAGGGTTGTGGTTGTCCACGTCCAGGTACTCCGTGGCGACACAGTAGACCTTGCAGGCCCTTCCGATTAGGCTGGATGCGGCATTGTTTCTGGGGTTTCTGCAAATCATTTTGGGAGGCTGTCGCTGCAGCTACCTCCTTCAAGGACTCTAAGGCTTTGCTGGAGCAACCGTGCGTTTCTCGCTTCCATGCTCCGTTGCAACTTCCTCCTCCGGGGCACACCCTACGCCTGAGTCTGCTGGCTGGCTTCGGCTGTTAGGCAGGGGTAGGAGGAGGAGTCGCCCCGCCAAGGGTAGAGGTAAGGAGCAGTCTACTGCCAGTGTGCAGCAGTCTTTTCAGCCCTGACCCCCCGGCAGACGTGCGAGCTCCTCTGTCAGGTCCATCCCTGCCAGTTCTACATCTGCAAAGGACCACCCACGCACTTCTCCCGATGTTCCAGTGTTTTCCAGCAGGTGTGAGAGACAGCTACAAACAACCCTTGGGTGCTGTCCACCATTACTGTCGGCCACTTACCACTTGGAAACGAGGCAAGCCCGAGTTTACCGGCATAAGACGCACTCCCCGTGCTGTCAAAGCGGGAATTCTGCGATACGAGGTTCAAGCTTTACTGACCAAGTCGACCATAGAGCGTGTTCCACCAGGAGAGGAAATGTCATGTCTGTACTCCACATACTTTCTCGTCCCAAAGAAAGACAGCGACTTCCGTCCGATTCTAAACCTCAAGGGGTTACCGTATATGACCATTTATAAGCCGAATTTTGCATTTTATTATTTGCAGGGATAAAGATTACCGTGTGTATCTAAGCCGGAAATAGCAATCAGCTGTGCACATGTTTCCCGGCGATCAAGTTCAAACATGCTCAATAATATATAACACAGAGTACTATTATTTAACCCAAAGAAATATAACCTAACATTGTGTAATTGTAATTACAGTTGTTATGTAAAATATATATAATAGACACTAAGGTTATACGGACCCTCATGAACGCTGTAAGCAATAGTTGTACGTACATGGAATGGGGTAAAATAGGGAAGCCATTTAACTTCACACATTTTTACCGATGTTACTGTAAACTAGCAGTGAATGGAAAACGAGGCTGTAATCAGTTTGTGATTGTTGAATGGGGTAAAATAAGCAAGCCAGTTTGTTGCTACAATAAATATGATATTTAGAGAAACAAAATATATTATGCATTTTCTTTTCTTTTCGATCCGTGACTAGACGCAATATATATGATTGTGAATTCTTTGAATAATGTGGACCAAAGTTATTGGTAACTGCCAGTTGTCTGTGTTTGCTGCAATTAGGACCCCATCGCGGGGGATCGACTTATGCCATTTTGACACTGATTATAAGGGTCAAGTTCGGGGGTCATCTTATCCATGGGGTCGTCTTATCTGTTTAGCCCGGCAGTTTGCCCACGTGAATTGACCTAAAGGATGTGTATCTTCATACATCCCTCGTTCAAGCGTTACCTTCGTTTCTCGTTCGACAGGATTTGTTACCAGTTTCGGGTGCTCCCCTTTTGCATATCCACTGCCCCCAGGGTGTTCACCAAGCTCATGTTAGTGCCGGCCCCATTAGCTCGGTCGCAAGGAAGGCATTGTCATCCTTACCTGGACGACTGGTTGCTGCGAGCACTAACACAACCAGGAGGTCTAGACTTTACTCACGTTGTGTTAGATATTCTAGTCCGCTTGGGGAGGATCGTCAACCTCAAGAAATCTGACATGGTACCCACCCAGGACTTGGTTTTTCTCGGGGCACGGTTCAATACACATCAGGGCCTGGTTTCCCTTTCGCCCGATAGGATCACCAGAGCACAGGAGATGGTGTCTTGGTTCCTCTCATGTCCCCAGGCCCCGGTGCAGACATGGTTCCCGTTGCTTGGTCACATGGCGGCGACCGTCTGTCGTGTTGTGGGCGCGGTTGAGGATGCGCCCTATACAGCTGGCTTTGGCGTGTCTGTGGGCTTACTCCGAGGATCTGGAGCAGTGTCTCACAGTTCCCGAGTGGTTATTCCCTCACCTTCAGTGGTGGACCGATGTCGGAAATCTCTCCTAAGGTCTCCCCTTGAGTCTCCCGACGCCGGCTCTTCCAGTTCAAACGGATGCATCCCTCACGAGCTGGGGGGTGTTCTGGGCAGTCTGTGGGTGTCTGGATGCTGGTCTGTAGCCGAAGCCCATCTTCACATCAACGTGTTAGAACTGAGAGTCGCCAGGTTGGTATTCGAGTGCTTTCGGGATCACGTTCAGGGCCAGGTTGTTCGCCTGCAAATAAACATGACGTACATTCTGAAAAAAGGCGGCACGGTGTCTCCAGCGCTCCTTCAGGAGACGGAGTTCCTACTGTGGTGCGACCAATACAACTACCATGTAATTCTGATATATCTCCCGGGGCTGGAGAATGTGCAAGCAGACGTGCTCTCTCGCCGGACCCTGGCCCCACACTAGTGGATGCTCGATCGGCGTATATTCTGAGTTATCTCCCAGTTGTACGGGTCGTTCCAGGTGGATCTGTTCGCGTCTGGCGGGACGTATTAGATACCAGTGTTCTGCTCTCGAATACTGGACCAGAAGGCTTCCTGCTGGATTGGACGGACGGGGTATAGGGTACTGTGGGCGTTCCCAAGTCTACTGCTAATCCCCAGGGTCCTCTCCCAGCTATCCACCCAGCCAGCTCAGCTACTTGTGCCACTGGCACTTCTTTGGCCGTTGCAGAGCTGGTTTCTGGGAATTCTCAGGTTTCTGGCTCAGCCTCCTGTTCTAATACCTTTACAGACGGACCATCTCACTCAGAACGGAGTGCCGCACCCTGATCTGCGGATCCAATGGGTGGCATGGCCTCTGTCAGGTCTAGCCTCGAAGCACGCGGAATTCCTGCAGCAGTTGCAGACACAATTCTGGCTTCGAGGCAGAATTCGACAAACGTTCAATATGAGTATAGGTGGTCCCGCTATGCATGCTGGTGTTCCGATAGGGGAATTGCAGATCCCTTTTCTGCAGATTTAGTCCGAGTTCTGGAGTTCCTTCAGTCTCGTTTGGAAGAGGGTTTGGTGTGCTCGACCATTCATGGCTACTCCACTGCTATTTCCACTTTTCACACCCCTGTCGATGGTGCTTTTCTGGGGCAGCACCCTCTTATGCAGCGCTTCTTAGTTGGCGTGGATCGGGTTCAGCCTGCTCTGAGGTGAACCAGCCCACCTTGAGATTTGCCAATCTTGCTTGATTGACTGTCCGGTCCTGTTTTCTCACATCTATCGGCTATTTCCTTTCAATTCTTAACGTGGAAAACAGCCTTTCTGGTGGCGGTTACATCCAAAGAAGGGTCGGTGATATTCACGCGATGTCATCTGATCCGGCACTGATGGTTTTTCACCCTGATCGTGTCAGTATTTGCCTCCTGGATGGTTACCAGCTTTCCACGTGACAGCTCCTATTAATCTTCCTACTCTTACCCAGCTGTTCTGCTGTTACGGTGGTGGGAAGGCTGGGGTTCCTGCCAGTAAACAAACTATCTCGTTTCTGTCTGGCTTGTTTCTGTCATTTGTGCAGCTTATCAGGCTAAGGGTAAACTTCCTCCCTCCTTTCTCCCCCCTCCCCCCTCCCCCGAAGGGTTGAAGGCTCACTCAGTCAGGGCAGTGGCTACTTCAAAAGCTTTTGCAGCCGCACTGCCCATTGAAGAGATTTCCTCCACCACTCCACTCGATACACACTCTAGAGATCGTGCTCGGTTTGGTTGGTCTGTTCTCTCCAGTGGACAGTGTCCTGCCACCCTGTCCGAGTGAGTCTTGGATCATTGGTTTGGTTCTGCATTCGTTTGCTCTGATCCACTATCCACTGAAGGCTCGATTTTACTCATTACAATTAATCTCCTATTGGAGTTGACTTTTTTGTTATGTGTATGCCCTTACTGTGCTCTACGCTAATTTTTCACTCTGTGGGCGGGTCTTTTTTTATCACTACTTGTGATCTAGTGCATTTCACTGTTACGATCAGAACTGTGTACATTTCCTCCCTTTTGGGTCACCTCCATCATGCCTCTCTTTGAGCTGCGGGTCATGTGACCAGGTGAGTGTTTTTAGCGTAAGTAACATGCTTCTTTACGATATCGCTAATTTTCTTGTACTAATATTCCCACCTCCCTAGCCTTCGGTCTTTGGGAGTCTGTGTATATGCATTTATATATGTACCCCAAGGAAGATCTCTCTGAAAAAGAATTAGCTAAAGTCAGCAGAAGGAATGATGATTTGGGCTAGGACGTTTACCTCGTTGGCAACGCATGTGTGGCACGGGAAGTAACTCCATGTGTGTGTGTGTGGTGGGGGGGGTGTTTGTTGTTTGTTAGTAAATAAAGAGGCTTTTTTATCAATCTAAACTTTGGTTGCACCATTAAATATCACTAGTTCTAACAAGTAACATGCATACTTGTTTAGCAATGTTTCATAACAAGTACTCAGTATCAGATACAATCATCACAACCTGACCCTGATGATAAATGATGAATCTGATTCAATTTTGCATTACCTTTATTTATAAATCTCATTAATATGATTACTTCTACATAACTGATCTATGAGTACACAAATGTTTCTGCTTGTAGGAAGTCATGCAGAGGGAAACATATTACTTCAAGTCACTTACTTCTCAATTAATACACAATGACAGCTATAAGATTTATTGTTACTTGCACCAGGTGCAACCTGTTAATGATGGGGGCAGGGGGGCATTTGTCACCCTCTGATGACTCTTGTTTAAAATGAGCAAATATATTTATCAGTTTTTCCTCATTGTTCATGCAGAAATATTTGAATGGCAAAGCTGACAGAACTTTTGTCTTTCTTTGTTGGTGTTCGAATCTGCTTATTACACATATTCAGGTGAGCTTCTGTTCCATGTATCTGAATCCAAATACAAATGCTGAATCTTTGAGTAAAGCTTACTGCTGCTTGTTTATCAGTTGTATTTGAAGATCATAAATTATTTTTGTTACGATTTTTTTTATGTTTTACATAAAAAGATTGTAACACTTGTTAAAAAATTAATTTCTTCCAGACCATTCAGTCATCTTGTTGGGGACCTGGAGCATCTTTTTGAAGTTGACTACTTGCTACCAAGAACACTTATGGCATGTGTGTCTGCTCAACACATTCAAGATATTGACTGCCTTGGGAACATTCCGCCTGACATAAGTTCAGCTACCTTTAGTCACTATCTGGGCTCTCAACACTTCCATTTTCAAGAATATGAAAAGAAAGTAAGAACATTTATGTTTTAATGCCTTCATAAGACACTTGCTCGTTCCTTTTCCCATCCTGGTTTGGCTTTCCTGATGCTTGATGCCTCAGTTCCATAATGGACATGAACATTTATAAAGATATTTTCCTTGAAACTTTATATTAACACAGTGCTAAATCTTTAATTGTATTTGACTTTTCTGTAAATTAACTGTGCAAGGTTGTCTGAGAACCATTAGGCCAGACCAATTTTATTTCTTGTTTTAAGGATCCGCCGGTCATATTTTTTCAAGAATAAGAAACAATAAATAAATTATATTCCCCTTTCAAAATATAAAATCCTGATATTTTTATTGCCCCAAAATGTGAACTTACAAGAAAATTTCTTTTAGATTGTTTTTGGCCCCATATACTTTTCATAAATTGCCAAAATGAAAATACTTTTTTTTATTTAGAAGGAATATTACTTTGACTGGAGATTTTATTATTATTTTTTTTTTCCCTCCTGCCTTTAGGTTTTTTGAGAACAAAAATCCATAACATAAGAAATAAAATTGGTCTGGCCTTACCATTATTACCAGACTGTAATGTATTACTTCATGCAAACATTTGAGAAGCAAATTGTGAAAGAAATTTGTAACATTGGTCAGATTGTATTTCATGAAAAGGACTTCAAGAATCTGACATGGAATTGTTCTATTGGTTGCAAATACAGTCCAAACCATTTCTGAACCAAATGTCATTGGGTACTGATAGTTTTTGACCGTGACATCACTTGGTTTTCTACAAACTGGCATTTTAACTATTCAGATCTGGGAACTGTTCTGGTCATTATTTCATACTACATTTTTTATTTTGTACACTTTCACAACATGTGCCAAATGAAAGGAATAGAGTTGTGACGATTAATCGTTACGCGAATAATCGCAATTCTAAAGCTGCATGATACTATATATCGATACAATTCTTGTGTATTGATTCAATACGATACGTATATACCTACAAAGTAACCCTAAACCTTTACCTGAAAAAATGTAGTCAATAAATGCATTACGATCAACAAGTCATCAGTGACAAGGGGGTGGCCATGTTTTCAGTTGCTATGCAACGCCAACTCTCGCGATACTTACAAGCCAAGAAAATTATGGATGGTGTGGACATGGTGACTGTGCTGTCACCCTCAGATTTCATAAAACCACCAGCGGTTTTAAAAAAGTCAAGTATGGAAACACTTCCTTATGTCTAAAGATAAAGGTAAAGTGGACTGTTCGCTATGTGGGACAATTTCTGGCTATAACGGCAACACTACAAATATGCTTGCGCATTTGAGGAGGCACCATCCCATCATTGCAACAGATAGCGATCAAAGGCACAAGAAACTTGCTACAAGCGAGAGTTTGAAACCAACTTCCACGTCGAAGTGTGCATCTTTACTAGATATATTCATGAACACTCACAAGTTCCCAGCTGGTAGTATACAGGCACAAGCAATTACCAAGGCCTATTTTATCATTACTGACTTACAGCCATTTTCTCTCGTAGAAAATGATGGATGTGTGAAATTTATTGCTACCCTCAAACCTAGGTACAAGTTACCAAACACAAAAACTCTATCACAGAAATTCATACCAGAATTGTATGAAACCACAAAATCAGCAGTGTTGTCAGATCTCTCCACATGTGTAAACATTGCTTCGACCACAGATGGATGGACAAGTCATTCAACCCAGGGATACATCACTATTACCAGTCAACACATATCCAATGATTGGAAGATAGTGTAATGTGTGCTGCAAACTCTAGTCATAGAAGAAAGCCACACAGGAGTTAATATTGGCAAAGTCCTGAAAGATGCTGTGCGGGAATGGGGAATTGGAGACATGGGGAATTGGAGACAAACATGCTCTTGTGACTGACAATGCAGCCAATATGGGTGTGGCAGCAGAGGTTGCAGACATGTCACCACACATTTATTGCTTTGCTAAAGCATTGAACTTAGCAACCCAAAGAGGAATGAAGCTTTACAAGGTGTCTACTCTATTGAGTGTTCGCGAAGTAATTTTCCACAGAAGCACAGTTACCTTCGCTCACCTCAAGACGGTTTTAAACCAAGTTCGTCTTGATCTTCCAAAGACCAAGCTGAGATGGATGTCGTCACCCGCTGGAAAAGCACACATGACATGTTTGTGAGCTATGTGCAGTTACAGCCCGCAATATATGCGACTCTAGTCTCCAAAGATGTCCAGAGAAACGAGGGGATGTCAACACTCGTAGAACTTCATCATCCATTGAAGGGAGCAACAGAAGTCCCCTGTGAGAAGATTCCAACCATATCAATTATAGCTCCCATGCTACACTTGATCCACAGCCAGATGATTCCCCTGGAAGGAGATTCCGGTCTTATGAAGGATGTGAAACAAGCCATTCTCACAGATTTTGGGAAGCGCTACAACGCAACCAAAGTGAAACAGATCCTACATCACTCATCAGCCATTGATCCCAGATTTAAAACACTGCTGTTTCTGAATGATGAAGAGAAAAGCACCGTGTTTGCTGATCTAGCTACTACTGACAGACACAGTGTATGTATTCTTGCTGTGTAAAATGTTTTAATTTCTTTTTCAAAAGTTACCAAGTTAAAGAAATATTAAAGTGTATATAATATGAAATACAATAATATAATAGTATATCAGAATCTGCTGAATTTGATTTAATTCAATTCAACTTCAGTGTCAATGAATGAAACAGTTACTTATACTTATTTTGAATCAGGAAATAGAGCAAATGTTTTAACAATACATGATATCTGCTCCAGTTCCAACACTGGTGAAGGAAAAGCCTCAAGAACACTCTGCTACCAATGATCTACCACTGCCTGACTTATCCAACCTATCAAACACTGGTCCTGCAGAAGATGCTGATATTCCTCCTATGAAGCATGAACCCATTGAAGTTCCCAAGCAATGTGATTCGTCAGGTAGCCTGTCCAAACTGTTCGGGGATGTGTACGTAGTGAAGATGGACCCGGCTCCACATCAAGAGCAGACCAAATGCTCCCTAGTTCGTGCACAGGAGGAGATTGAGAAATATGTGAAGGAGATGAATATGGATTCTAATCTGTTGGATTGGTGGAAGTTTCATGAACATAAGTACCCAATGTTGTCCCAGTTTGCTAAGTCCATTCTGTGCATTCCTGCAACGTCTGTCCCTTTAGGGAGGGTATTCTCTACTGCAGTTGATATTGTTACAGTACAGTGAGCCAACCTCCTGTTGACAGGATGATATTTCTGAAGAAAAACGTCAAACACCATTTCTAAACTTGACTTAACTTGACATGTGACAAGAGTTTGCAGATGTGAAAGTGTTTATTGTTTCATGTTCAAGTTGTCCATGTTCGAAAATATCAGGATGTTACTTATCTTTGACAATTTACTCCTAAGTTAAATCTTGAATGATGAGCAAGTGCTGCATTTTTAAATTGTCAATTTCCAATGATTTTCTAGTTTAAAGATGTTATGGTTTTAGCTATTTTTTTACAAAATATCATGATTTTATTCCAAGTAGATATTATCATTTCTAATTCTTTGGAAACCTGGCTTGCATTACATGCTGGTAAGCTCTTCTGATATATCTACACAAATGTTTGTGAAATGCACCTACAATCATTCAAAACTTGACTAAACTTTACAACAGGTTGTTTATTATGTTTAATGTGTTAAAGATCTCATTAATGTTGCATCTTGAATGGTGAGCAACTGTTGCATTTTGAAATTGTCAATTTTCAATGTTTCTTCCAGTTTGAAAATCTTGTGGTTTTAGCAGTTTAATCATGCTCCCTATTCCAAGAAGCAAAAACATTGCATTCTTTGGAAATATTGCAATTGAATCTTTTTTTTGTTATTCCAGTGTCTATGAAACAGCCCTTTTGATATTTTACACAAATGTTTGCTGAATGCATATTCAAATTTATTGCATTTCAAGTTTCAAATTATGACAGTATTTTTTGTTTAAAACTATATTAGCTTCTGAATTGCTGACAACTGACAAGAGTCTGATCATAAGGTCTTTAAGGTTGTGTGGATATTTGATCTACCTCATAGTTCATGCTTTTACCAGTAATTCATGGTTTGTCTGGACTTGACACATGACATATGAAAATGATGTGATCATTTGAAAAAGAAGATTATGATAACACTTTCATTATGCTCAGATTGAGATCATTTTCACAAAGTTTATGTTGTTATTTGTGCCAAAATGCCAGCTGTGCCAATGTTGATCCCAGCTGTCCCATTTGTTTATGAAGGAACACTGGTTTCCTGAAACATGTCAAACATTTTGAATAAAATGTCTTTCATGATGACTTGCATTATTTTTCTTTGCAGGGGAATATTTCCCCTGAAATGAAAAGATAACAGTACATTATATCCATTACTCTATCTCTCTGTATACAAGGACAAAGTATCGTGATATGTATCATATCATATGTATCGGACTACCAGTATCATGATACATATCATGGCATAGGCTTTTGTCCCAACTCTAGAAAGAAAGCATTGTCACTCTGGAATGTGTGTAATTTTGCCTTTGACTGCATTCAGTGTTCTGCCACTGTCATACCATATGCCCTCCCAGACCATAACAGAAAACACACTTGATGCAAGCAACCACAGTCTGGCATTTATCTCAAAACATAAACTTTTCCCAATGGTCATTTTTTTGTCCATAGTCTTCTTTCCCTACACCATTTCACACACTTTTGTTTGTTTTCATCACACATCACCATCTTCTTCACAGGTCATCTATATTACCCCATTCTTTTCAGATTTCTCTGCAGAGGTTTTGTACACAATGTTACACCCTTTCTACTATTAATTATGTTGCATAATTTCTTTTCTGTTCCCTTTAAGGACCCCCGAAAACACCATCTCATTTCTGATTTCTCCCACTTCATTCCAACTTTTCCACCGAACCTACTCGCCCATGTTTTCTGATGTAATTAAAACTGTTGATGGTTGTGCAA